CTGGCCACAGAACCCCGTCCGGGGGGCCAGGGCCCCTGCCCGCGACGCTCACTCCCTCCGTCCCACGACTGACTGCAGTGCGTCCTGTTCCTCCTGTCCTTGCCTCCCTCGATAAGCAGCACGACCATCGCTTGTGAGGAGGTGCAGCGCCTCAGGCAGAGGTGCCTTTTGTTGGACTTTCTCCCTGGATACACCCTCAGCCTCACACCCTTGTTAACTGCTCCCCTGTGCAGACCCATCCTCGAGCCGCCCGGGGCCTGCCGTCTCATCACCATCCTGGCAACGTGGCTCCAGGGCGTCCGCAAAGGCCCGGCAGGGATGCCAGCTGCACGCTTCCACGTTAGCTTTGGGGTCGTTTTTCTCTGCTGAGGAATAACGAGGCCTGATGCTAATTACAAGGAGTTCCCGCAGTGCTGACAACACTTCAGTCTGGGGCCATCCTGCTCGCATTGGCCGCAGAGAGAACAGAGCCCCTGGTGGAGATGGGACAGGGAGAGCTGCTTCTGGTATACAAAACACACCAAGTGATCCAGGATTTTCCGTGCTTCCTATGGGACCAGGAGGGGTCTGGTCACACCCTCCTTAGAATGTCAAGGGCAAGATGGAGCTCTGGGTAGACGGCACGTGTGAGGTGTGTGCGAGCCTGCGTGTGCATGCGTGTGTGTGCATGTGTCTGTGTTCACCTTGTGTGCATGTGTGAGGTGTGTGCAAGCATGTGTGTGCACGTGTGAGGCGTGTGCATGCATGCATGCATGTGCGTGTGTGTGCACGTGCACCTTGCCATGGTGGGTGCTAGGTTGCACATGTCCGGAGAACACAGACGGTGCTTCCCAGGGCGGGTGTTGGGTTCCTTCCATCGTGGGTCTTAGCAGCTCTCTCCCTCCCTCCTCAGCATCTCCTCGCCCCATGCCTGCCCAGGAATTCAGAGATTCAGAGACGCTGAGCCCAGGGTCAGGGGTGGGCCTCTGGCACCATCACCCCGAAGACCTCGGGTCTCGGCGTGGCTGAGATGGGAGGGGCCCTATAGAAGGGTGCCCCAGGGGGACCCCGTCGGAAGCAGAGAAGGGCCAGACGGCTGGATGGGGGGGCCCCCCCCTCCTCTGGGGAGGGGGCTCCACTGTTGTGGGGGTGGGCCAGGTGGGGAGGTCTTTGGCCCCACGTTTAACAGGAGAGGACGCCCCCACACAGGAGCGCCACAAACTGTGCTCTGGACCCAGGCCCCGTCGTTTACCCCAGTTGTAGCAGTTTTCTGGATAAAAAGGTTAGTTTTACATTTTGCTGGCCAATGGGCCATATTTCTTGTGCAAATACAACTAAATCAAAAAATGTTTGAACCAGGTGCAGGGGAAGTGATTGACTAAACCATCTTCTTCCATTTTGGAACTGACTGGCTGGAGGGCTGTCCATGGGGAAATGCGGTGGATGGAAAATCATGAGTCCTTCTCTTCCCTGCAGCAGCTTTGAGAGTCCCTGAGCAGGTCCAGGTGTGGTGTTTGGTGGCAGCAATGGGACAGGTGGAGGTTAAAAGACATGGTGAAATGGCGTTGAACAGCCGGGGGTGGAGGGTAGAGGTGGCGTGCCCGGTGAGCCCGGGACGGCTCCTTTACTGGACAAAAGGGGCTTCACTACAAATGCCACAGGAGAGACCTCGGGGCCAGCAGGTGAGGTCTGCACCAGTGTCGGGCCCATGGGGACCTTCTGGGGGAAGAGCAGGGGGCGTGAAGGCTGCTTGGGCTGTGGCTGTAGAGCCGCGGTGGGGGCCGGCCCTTGGGGAGATTCATTCTGTCCTCCCTCGGTAGACAAGGGCATCACCCGGAGGGTGACGTGGCAGCATCGGGCCGTCTGGGGAGCGAGTTTCCTGGCATCGGTTTGGTGGACTCTCCGGCCACGCGCGCCTCCTGCTGAGCCAGGCTCCCTGACGTGGCCCTGAAGCTGGTGCTCCACTCACGGCTCCTGTGAGAGTTGAGGTGGGGGCTCCTCACCCCTCTGCTTCCCACTGAAGACCAGTAAAACGGCACTCTGTTTGTCAGAAGGGCTGCATCATCCACACCTCAGACAAACAGATTTTTAGTGTGAATTTCTAGACGTAGCGGGTCCCAACCCTCATGTCCCATGACTGGCCTGACTGCAGCCTCGAGTCGCAGCTGGTCTGGGGGAGAGAGAGACCTGCCAGCAGGAGGCTCGTCCCTGTCCTGGGTCCTCTCTGCAGGTGCGGGAGGGACGGAGAGCGCGGCTCAGCCCTGCTCTGCCCTGCCCTGCGGGGACTGTAATGGGGGCCCGTGCAGCCTTGCGCTGGTCCCCCACTGGGGCTGCTGTCAGCTCTGGGCTCGGGATGTTTCAGCTCTGTTTGCCCTCAGAATATTCAAGGCTGGCACCTTGGGATGAAGATGAAAGCGACAAAAAATCGAAATACCAGCAAATATTTGGAAAAACTGTTCAAGTGCACTTGTAACTAGAGAATGCAAATTAAGAAGATGCCTCTGTTCCTTGTGAAATGAGATGCTATGTTCCAACTGTCCAGTTGCCCTGTCCTGAAAACCTCTTTGAAGAAGAGAGTCGAGGATGGAAACCCTGGGGTCTAAGCACGTTCACAGGAGAGAATAGTGAAAGATGGGAAATCCCCTCAGCGTCCGCCTCAGGCTGTCCCCAGGCCGACCCGTGGGTCAGGCGTGGACACAAGGTCAAGTCGTGGGCAGGACGAGAGACTGTGCGTCATGTGTCAATGGAGAACGTCTAAAGGTGTGTGAACCGGACGGGCTGGTTCAGATGCCCTGGGAACGGAAACGTGGGCCCCAGCGCCATGTCCCTTGTCTGCGGGCCTGAGTGATTTCAACTCTTCAGTGTTTTCCACAAAGAACTTGGGCAACATTCATAGCCATAAAAGGCGGGGAGTGAGCAATGCGTGGGGCCTGCCCTCAGCCGCAGGCAGTCCTCATGCCGGCTCCTGCGCTGTAACTGGAGAACCTGCGGGTGCCCCAGGAGGGGTCTGTGCCGGGAAGGCCCAGCCATGCCCTGTAGGCCGGCTCTTACAATTCGGTGAAATACTGAGGATTGAAAGTGCTATTTCTGACCACAGAACAACCGAGCAGAGGAAAGTCACAGAGAAAAACCTAATGTGTCCGCCTGACTCTCATAAGATGGGAAGAAGGAAGAAGACGAATTCTGGCAGAGAATCATGTGTGCAGTTGTGAATCAGACAAGGGAATTACTGGCTTGGCCAGAGCCCCCAGCCCCCGGAGTGCTGTTCAGCAGTGAACGATTTTCTGTTTTATTTCAGGAAGCTGCCTCTTACTGGGAGCACTTGTTACATAAAAGGAGGGCTGCTGGGACTTGAGACGCGCTAACCCACAGCTGGCCGGCTTGGGCCGGGAGCCCGGCTCCAGGGGGCCCTGAGCTGAGGCTCAAGGGCGTCACGGGGCCCAGGGTCCCGGTGCAGCCATCCTCTCCGGTCTCTTCTCAGCAGGTGCTGCACGTGGGCCGAGGCCCCTTTGGCTCCAGAGAAAGTTCTGGCAACACTCCCAGGAGGGATCGGAATGGTTTAGCTCAGGCCCTGTGTCCATCACTGAACGGGTCCCTGTGTCCAGAGGCATGAACTCCCAGCAAGTCAGGCTGGGGTCGTGCAGTGGTGGAGCGTCAAGGCCTTGGTTCGCAGGGCTGAGTGACCAAAACTGTGCAGACATTGCCGAGTGTCCCCGGGGAGGGGCAGCAGAGTCACCAGGTGAGACCCGCTGCAGAGCACACTGTCCTCACCCCGTGTCCCTCACCCTGTGTCTGCGAGGCTGTTGTAACGCCGAGACAGCTTCAGGTCACTCGGACTTCGCGCAGAGGTCGTCTGGGCCTGCTCTGGTTTTCAGGTGAGGGGAGTTTATTAATGTCTCAAATACAGTTTCGAGGAATAGAAAAAGCAAAACCGGTTTATTTTTATTATTTCAGGGCTGACAATTCATTGCCGTGAATGAAAATAGGGGACGGCCCCCAGCGCCCCCTCCTGACTGCTGACGGCCCCCAGCGCCCCCTCCTGACTGCTGACAGCCTCCGGTAGTCCTCTGAAGCCTCAGACCTCAAAAATGAGAATAGTAAGAGCTAAAAATAGTGACGTTGCAGGTGACAAATGCAGCCTGTCCTCCCCTCTCCTGGGGCTGAGTGATTCCAGCTCCGTGACCATTTTCCTCAAGCCGGGTCTGCCAGCACTTGACCCATCAGTGTGGCCGCAGGTTAAATGCCCCGAGGCCTGAGGGGTCAGAGCTGAGCCGCATTTGTCGCAGGAGCAGAGTCAGCCTGGGAGGGCGTGGAAGCAGTGCTGCGTGGTAGCTTCCCGCCCGCCACGTGTCTCCGAGGAAATTGTCGTCTCTCGGGGTGGAGGGGACACGCAGTGCCTGCTTGCTCATCCCTGTGAGACCAAGCCTGGCTGCCTGCCCCTTACCAGCAGGGGGCCTCCCACCCGGGGAGACTCATTCCCTGGGGGACTGGCGCCAGGTCCATGATGCAGACCCCCTGTCGTGTGCGTGGACTCTGCCCTCAGTGAGTTTCACCTTCTTGTAAAACAATTTATTCTCACTCATGCATGAACTTTCCTCAAGTACCCTCTAGGTGCTAAGTCTGTGCCAGACGCTTGTGACGCAAAGAGCTTCTGCCCTTGTAGGGGAGCCACACCTATAAAGAGGCATCAGGTGCAACGTGCAGGCATTCAGGCCGTGGGGATGCACGCCCTTTGTCACATGCAGGTATCGGGTCAGTGACTCTCCTGGGGCTGGAGGGTAACATGGCCCCACACCTGGGAGATCTGGCACCTGGCCAGACACCAAGTTCCTGCGGCGTGAGCGGATGGCGTTTGCATTTAGAAGCAGTGATGCAGTGGCAGCTTCAGTTCCCAGCTGTTCTGTGTGGGCAGGGCTGTGGCGGGAGGGAGGTTAGCTGGCTGGACACCCTCCCCTGGCTGGTCTCTTGTCCCCACCCTCAGGCTGCCTCACGCACAGTCTGCTGACTCTGCTCCGGCCTACTTTCCGAGGGCACCTTGCTCCGCACGTCCGCATCTTCCTGAGGATCCCTGATGATTCCCGACGGCTCTGACCCCTTGCTTCGCACTCTCCGGAAGCGCTGAGCGCTGTCCAGCATGGTGGCCCCTCTCCCAGCCTCTGCCCCAGTTTCGAGATGACAGCTCTCTTGAGGAGCAAACCCTGGAGCGAGGCTCCTCCTGCCCTCTCTCCCTCCTGGCATCCAAGGAGACAGGCGTTAAAACCCTCACGGGATAGTGTTTGGACGCAGGCGTGTTGTTCGGGGTGACCCGGCCTTGCTTGGTGTCTTCAGGGCCTCCTCGAGGGCACGCGTGGTCGTGGGGCCTCCCCGGCCACTGCGTGCGTGTCATCAAACTGGTCTCCATGGTGGTGGGTGGGCCGGGTTCCTCAGGTCCCAAAACTGAAATGCCCATTCCCTTGAGGGTGGGGTAGAATCCCTATGTGAACTCTGAGGTCTCTTAGCTCCGTGAACACGGCGAAACCAGTGACGCAGCATGTTCCCTCCCCTGCCCGTCCTCCCCTGCTCGGCCACAGTGGTCTGTGCAGACACTCAGGCGCCCGTGGGGCCCTGGGGCTGCCCACCCGGCCTCCCCTCTCAGAGGCAGCGGGGGGCCCAGTCCACAGACCACAAAACCAAACAAAAACTACTGTTTTCTTCGCTGCCAGCCCAGAAAGCAGAGTTGCTAGAATGTTCTTAGCTGACAGTGGACACAGACTCAGCCCCATGCCCACTGGTGGGGCTGGGCTGTGGACGGAGCTGTGGCAGAGCCCTGATGCTCACGGGCCACACGTGCTGGATGCAGGGAGCAGGCAGGCGGGGCCCCGTGGTGGGGAGCAGAGCTGCACCCACGGGAGGGGTCCAGCCCCGCCCCAGGGATACCCCCAGCAGAGGCACAGGGACATGTGGGCACTGGGCCTGGGGAGCCTCCCAGGCACACGTGCTCTGCCCCGCCGCCCCGCACAGATGCGGGAGTGACACGGCCGCGCTCCGAGGTCGGGGCCACGAAGGCTCTGAGTTTGGGGCCTCCCGCGTCTGCTATGTGCTTCCCGGCTGCCGTGTTCTCTGGGATAAAGCACAAGGCAGAGCGTGGCAGCTTCTGTGTACTCACGTCCAATCTGAGGGTGGTCTTCCATGCATGGTGTCTTCCGAGCTCTCAGCTGGGACACCCAGAGCTGGGGACCCCATCGGAGACAGAAAGGGCTCTGCTGGGCTGGTGTCCCGGCTGCTGGTCCCTGCCACATTTTATCCCACCCTCTCCCTCTCATCCCAGCCCTCCCCATGGGGACACCTGCGGTGCACACCAGGGTGGGCCCTGTATTTGGGTGAAAAGTGAGAGGTGTCATTTCACAACAGGACAGGACAGAGCCCAGTGGGCCCAGGGACAACTGGAGTGCGGTGCGCACGGCAGGAGGCCGTGTCTGCAGGGTGGAGCAGTGGGGGTGGGGGTATTTCCAAGAATGCTCTGGGACCCTTGCAGAAAGGACGCACTGGGTGACTCAGATGCTGAGGTCACATCCCCTCCTGCAGCTCTGAGGACCGCAGCGCTGGTGCTCTGAGGGACATCGTCCCACGATGTCATCGGAGTGACATCACCATCCCACATGGCATCACAGGTGGACGGGGACGCCTGCGGACGAGCAGTGCTGCCTGGGGGGGCAAACTATCCTCCAGTTGGTCGCAGGCTGTTTTTACTGCCCTTAAACACCCCCCGCCCCTCCTCCCACCCACAGGGATGTGCTTTTCCCACTTGTTATCGGGGGTGGGAAGTGTAATTATCAGGTGAGGAATCGTAAGAAAAAATCTCCCTTGGTAACCAGCAAGGACGCTGGTTCTAAGTTTGCGTCGGGTATAAAATTTCTTTGTTTGATGACAAGACACCAAGCGCAGGCAGGAAGCAGCTCTGGGGAAAGGCCACGCTATTTGAGAATGTTTTAAAGGCTTTCTTCTAAATACTTCCACCGGCTCTCCCTGACTCCTTGGCCGGCTCCGGACCGAGTGGGTCTGTGCTAACAGCCAAGTGAGTGACACCCTGGGGATACCTCGCTTCATGTGAAGGCATGTGTGTAACGGCATGTGACCCACTCTGTGGAGAGGCGGGTGTGGAGTCCAAGCCCAGCTTGGGGCTCAGCCTGCAGCTCCCAGGTGTCAGACGGAGCCCCAGGGTCCCCATTCACCCTGGCTGGCCAGCCCAGTCAGCTGTGGTGGGGATTCAGGTCAGCATGACAGGTGGAGAGACAGCGACGCGGGCCAAGTGGGGAGGGGGAGGATGGCCTGCTCCCACCCCCGCAGCCGGTGCCGCCCCAGCGTGCCTGAAAGCCGCGTTGTCCAACACACGACAGTGTTTTGGAAAGGGGGCCTTTCAGGAAGCGTTGCTTTGCTAAGGCTGACCCCGAACACTTCAGTGTGCACTCATTTATTCTCTCGAAGGTGGTTTTCAGGGACCCGCCCAGTGTGGGCACCGTGCCCCTTGCTGGGAGTGATTCAGCAGCTGAAAGACGGACTTCCCACCTCCAGGGGGTCTGCAGCATCGGGGACCACCCCATGGTTGACCCCGTCCTTAGGTTAGCACGCAGTTCTGGAAACACCACCCAGGGAACTCTCTCAGCACTGCAGGGACTTGGAAGGCAGAGGCTGGAATTTGAATGGTTGCCCTGTTCACTTATTTTCCTATGTTTGCTGTGGAGTGACCGGAAAACTTCCCGTCCCTCAGCACCTACGTAACAGAGGTTACCAGAACCAAAAATAAAACAATGGTCCACAGCTTTCCAGACAGGTGCGGCTCAGCAAACGAGGGCTCTCCAGACGCCCTCAAACCACGCTCCCAGAGACTCCAAGACAGCCAAGCAATTAGAGAAACAGTTGCTGTCAGGAGAAAAAATGCCAAATGCTGCTAGCTTTAAAATTTTCCTTTTTGTCAAACTGGACTCGGGCCAAGTTATAAAACAGGAAATTTCGATTTAGAAGGAGACGCACAGCCCACCGGTTCTAGAGCAACACCAGGTCTCCTGGGAGGCAGGTGTGGTCATGAAGCACACACCGGGGAACGGGCCTGCCCCGCACTCCGTCCAGGTACAACCTGTGTGTAACTGGGACCTTCTGGTGTCATCATCTTCGTTACAGTGGCAGATGTGCCCAGGGTCTGCACCCCTGATGAGATGCAGAGCTGGGTGGGGGCAGGCACTCTGCACCCAGAGGCCCACGGAGTTCTCCTCGGAGGATAGCCGGTCCAGTTCTCCTTGGCTGAGGCTTCTGAGGCAGGAAAGGCTCATGGCCAGTTCCCTAAAGGAGGTGGGGACCGTGAGGGGCCTTGGCCTCCCCAGCGAACGGCGCACATCTGGCTGGAGGCCTCTCTGCCCTGGGAGGGGGTGGAGCAGCAGCAGAGCCCGGGAAGATGCGAGTCAGCTTGGACCAGAGGCTGCCCGTGGGGAGAGGTCGCAGCGGAGGGCCCGGGACTCGAGGCGTGGGGCCCCCGGGCCAGGATGGAGCTGGTGGTCGTGGCGGGAGCCTGCGCTGTTCAGGTCCGCCGTGAGCTGTGTCCAGCCGGGTGGTGTTTGCTCGGCTCTGGAACCAGGACATTTGCTATTTGATAAACGCAGGCCAGGCTCTTGCCTGGTGGTGAGTGTGAGAAAGGCCAGCCGGTCGTGGCCGCCACGCAGCCTGGAGCTGCAGTCGCACACCGTGTGAGTGCACAGCTAAGGATCCCGGGGGCTCTGTTTCCAGAGGGGTTGCCCGTCAGTCTTGAGATTTGCTTAATCTGTGTGTGCAGGTGAGTGTGCTGGAAACAGCTGAAAATCTGTAATACATTGGTAAGAAGAAAGGCAAGCAGTTAGTCTAAGGAACCAGCAGCATGATTCAGGGGAGTCACGGAAACTCTCTGGATCTTAAATGAGGGCCTGGGCTGCTCACAGTGTGGTCTGCACAGGCCTGCTGGAAGTGCCGGGCTCGGCCCCGCCCCAGACCATGGAACCGAATCTCTGTTCACGAGACCCCAGGCGATTCACCCGTGTGCAGCCAAGTTCCAGAGGCTTGGCCGCCCCACCTCCAAAGTCCGTCCAGCTCTGCATTTATTTGATTCTATGAAAAGAAGGGAGGCTCTGAAGGGGCTATAAAGGGACCAGCAGAGCAGAGAATCTCTCACCAAACAAGCAACAGAGCAACGCTGATGAAGGATTTTGCTGTTTAATGTTCGTGCGGGGCAGACACAGGTGGGCTGTGCGGCTGTGCAGTTATTAAAAACCAACCTTTGCGAGCTGACCGTGAACTGAACGCGTTACAGGACGAACCGCTCGGTGCCTGTCTGCCTGCGCTGTCTCTCGGGTCATCTGGGTCGTATCTTAAACTGGACCACGTGGGAAGATTTACAGTACGCAGTTGGCAGGGGCTGCAAACCAGCCCCAGTGGACCGTGGCCCGTTCTAGCACCAGGCATCTGTCCACGGCACCGCCGTTAGTGGCTCTGGAGGAGAACCCTGCTTCCAGCAAGAAGTGGTGACTCTGGGACCTGGTCCCAGACAGGGTCCTCCACCTCAGCTTCAGCTGGACATTTCCAGGCACGACCAGGCCCTGTTAGACGAAAACGTCTTTCTGGAAAGGTGTCAGGAGTTTGCAGGGTCCCCGGGAGGTGGAGCTGGGCCACTGAGCAGGGCAGTGCCCGGCCATGGACAGGTCTGGCCTGAGCCCCATGCCAGCTGGCCACGCCAAGGTCACAAGTCACCACCTAGCCCCTCAGCTGCCCCAGAGGGTGGTGGACCTCCTCCTTCAGGGCTGCCGGGCTCCCCCGCGAGAAGACAGGCATCTACGTGCCTCTGTGGGGCTGTGCAGCCCTGGGCCCCGTCCGCCACCATGCCTGAGCCTCTTGGGGGGTGACACGTCCCTCACAGGGCCCCTCTGGGCATCGATGCCCTAGTGCACTCCCTCACCTGGTGCTCCAGCGAGCCCCCCACCCCTGGGACTGAGTCCAGCCCCACTGCAAGTGCCCCTCAGTCCTGTTCTGAGAACTGCCAGCTGGACCCTCAGATTCAACATTTATCACCAGATTCACAGTTAGTCCCAACACGAGGTCCCTCCTCAGCCCACCACCAAATGTCCAACCTGCGGCCC